CAGTGTTCATGTGTAAGTACACACAGTGTGATACTGTTATGTTAAAGGACACACAGAGTGTATGTGGTACACACACACCTGTTTGTCAGCAGCCTGGATCGACCAGTAAACATCTGTCTCTGTGTGCGACGGCCAGCTGCTGCTTCCTCACATGGAGGACAGACGGGCTCAGTTAAATCTCCACTGAGGACCTCAGTTCATCTGAGGTTTTCTCAAAAGGATTTATTGTTGTTGTGAAGCCGCCATTATCTGTTATTGGGCATTTGTAATGACGCAGTTACACATGTATTTGCATAAAAACTTTAAAGATTGAAGCCATGCAACACATCTGTGTGAGGACATTCAGGACGTTACATTTCCTATGAAAGAGATCAGGATCACAGATAGGTTTTCATTTTTCCTTTCAAAAGTATATTTTTCCACTGGACAATACATTTTAATTATGTTTAACTTGTTTTTTATCTGATTCTCTGGGTTTAAATTGTATTTAATCTTTTTATTTTAATCCTGCTCACTCATTTATGCTTTTTAATGTCTCCATGTTTGTATGTATGCACATACACACATACACTTTGTTTTTAAAGTGCTATATACATGAAATAAACTTGAAACGTGTTGTCAGATTTCAGATTTTCTAGCTACTCTTCATTGATATTTGCAAAAAATGAAGTAAGAACTATGAAGTTGGCGATTGCTTGTAATTTTAGAGTATTTTTTATCAAGATATTGGTTGCATTCTGTGTGCTAGAGAAGACACCACATCACATTTTAAAAAAAAATGTAACCTAATATTCTGCAGACCGCTCCCTGTGGATTAAATTATAATGGGATTCAGACTGCAGTCAATTCTCCATGAATAGAAAAGGCACATGGGCTACACAGGATTAATTTCTGGATTGATGCTATAACGAATAAAGTAAAAAATACAAATGATTAAAATAGCAATAAAGTGTCAATAAAGATGAACACAGGCATGAATTCCAGGTGTTTTTTCTTTTACACACGTCTGCTAACAAGATATTTAATTTAATAAAATAAAATAAATTAAAGTGTTTGTTTTTTTTGTGAAGTTTTGACTCATAAACACAAGCAGTTTAATGTCCCACTGTACCACTTTATGCAGTTTAATGACACAGCTCAAGCATTACAATCAAACCTGTAGCAGTTCTGCCTTCTCACCAGCAGAGGTCCTCCTAACTTCCAAACAGCACAGGAATTTCCCCTGTGATTCATACAGTGGTGATGATCCACCCTCAGGTCATACAAGCCACACCATGGCTTTATGATGATGACAAAATATAGCCCCTGTCATTAAGGAACTGTTATTTAATTGATCTGTATTAATGCCCACATGATGTTACTCTGGTCTGTGGGACTTATCTCCACAGGAGGGCGCTGAGGCTGTGGACATTTGGAGTTTACTCACTTCAACATCGTCTGACAAATTTATCAAAGGTCACAGTGATAGATTCCACTCTCAGTATATTTCCAAACAAGACTAAACAGTCTCTACATTGTCAGGATTTAGGCATCTAATCAGTCCAGTCTGACAATGTGTAGATCACTGGAACATGTGCTGAGTATCTACAGCCAACCTTTCCTTAATTTCGATATCCTTCAAAGATATGGGGCCCTACTTTGCCATATCTCTGTGTTTAAGTGACTAACGAGAACAGCACTTATTGAAACTGGTGCAGTATTGAACGAGACGGCTGCAGCTGGGAGCAGCAAAACAGGCTGCAACCTAACACATGGGGTATGTTTGCAATGTCATTTACTTCCACTAAAAGTGCTTGTTATTGTCACTGACAGGCTCATTTGTTATTATAAGTGTCGTCAACATTATGGAAAGGATCCCTACAAAGAAAGATCTTTTTGTTAAAGAGTAAGACCCTTTGTGTTTAACCAGAAACAGCACCAAAATCGCTCTTGCCAAACCCACCAGACTCCATTTAAATAAACAGTAACTTTATATTCATATAACACACTATATTCAGAGTCAACAGCGCAAATTCGCTGGCTGTAGGGCTGTTGCTATTATTGTTAAAACGCTGCTACTCGAACTATAGATACCCCTTTTCCACCAACATAGTACGGTTACGCTCCACTTTATTTTGAACCATTCAGAGCATTTCATCCAAAACTAATTTGGATCAGAACCTAAAAAGTTTGTTCTCAGCAGGAACCAATGAGTAGCAGGTTTTCCTTGACCTCAAGTGCGAACGCTGACACCAACAGCGGGCATGTCATATTGGAAAGAGAGGATGCAAAAGGCAACAACAGAGACATCAAGTGAGAAATCAATGGAAAAAAACAGCTTGCAGTGGTTTCATTAATAGTAGATCAGTGCTTGTTTTTTGTTTTGCTTTTTTGGAAGGGGGCAAAAACAAATATCTGTAATAACAGAACAAAAGTTCACAGGTAATCAATGTAGTCTGCTACTACTGTTTACTTCTACTGGGCACTGTGCAATGACCTCCATTCATCTGTGACAAACTGGTGGCTGGTTCGCTAGGTAGTACCAAGGTTCCAAGAATCTTGAAGGGAACCAATTTGAGAACAAGAATTATTTTGGTGGAAAATGGATAAGGTTGTACCACGGCCACAAAGAGTACAGAAGCCGAATGAGAATGATACCTGCCCCTTTCCTCTCTCTAAAATTCAGACCAAACTCAGATCAAACAGTAAAACTAGGCAGTGCTGATCAAATATAAACCAAGATACTGCTGCTGTATTGCCTATTTCTCACCTCAAATGTCTTCAGAAACGTATTTCATTGCATTGTTTGGCTGCGGGATTCTCCGTCAAATCGACACCATACCTGCAGCGTAGGCTCTGCGTCAACGTAACCTGACGTGCACCTCCCCAGAAATGTAACTACCCTTCACGGTGATGCAGACCTCCTGTCTGTTTCTGTGAGCTGAAACCATTTTCCTCAGTGCAAACAAATTAATATTAATTATTTACTTTGATTTCACAGATCAGAAACAATAAATTGTGAAGACAATAAAGCCTCCACTAAAATAACATTTTAAGTCCTGTGTGTGATTTATCCTGGCTTCATATGAGCAGAGGAAATCTCTGCTAGTCGCTAGGCTAATTTATACAATGTAAAATGCCATAGGCTTGTGCTAACAACGTTAGCATGTTACATTTGTGGGGAAAACGTGTTTAGTATAAGACAATTGTTTTGTCAGTGAACCTTGTGAGCTGTAATGGAGCAAAATTATGTAACGTTACCTTTGTTAAATGTTGCTGTTGTCCCTGGCTTCATATGAGTAGAGGAAAAGTCTGCTAGCTGCTAGGCTAATTTATACAATGTAAAATGCCATAGGCTTGTGCTAATAACGTTAGCATGTTGTATTTGTTTGGAAAACGTGTTTATTATAAGACAATTGTTTTGTCAGTGAACCTTGTGAGTTGTAATGGAGCCAAATTATGTAACGTTACCTTTGTTAAATGTTGCTGTTGTCCCTGGCTTCATATGAGAAGAGGAAAAGTCTGCTGGACTCTAAGCTAATTTATACAATGTAAAATGCCATAGGCTTGTGCTAATAACGTTAGCATGTTGTATTTGTGGGGAAAATGTGTCCAGATAAAGACAAGTGTTTGTCTGTGAATGCTGTGAGTTATAGTGAAGCTGATTTGTGTACTTGTGTTTGAAATTGTCTCTATTAAGCCATGTTGAATTTTAAAACTTTACAGCACTTCACAGAAACCTCCACCGCCAACTAGTGTTGTGGAGGTGTAACTGCAGAGTGACACAGACCACCACACAAGCATAAATGCTCACAAGCAGTGCTGATAAAATAAAAACCAAACTTCAGTTACTGCGTCGCCTGTTTATCGTCTGAAATGTTTTCAAAAACATATTCTGGCTTACCTTTTATCTGTAATTGGAGATCGTTTGTTAACCAGCCGGCCGCCATGTTGTTTCCTGTTGAAAACACCGGCGTGAGCGTTTATTGGTCCAATGCGGCGCTTTGCATTCTGGTAGTTGTAGTTTTGTTTTCATCTTGAGCAAAAGCAAACAGGCCTTTTTCTCTGTGTTCTCCGGTCACGTAGCATCAATTATAAAAGTATTTGTGTCTTTCTACTGCACAGACAGCCTAGTTTTATGAAAAGGCCATGACTTAAGCAGTGAGATACTTTTTTATACACAAGATCTGAGTATTTCTTCCACCACTCCACTCTTTAGGGGCTGTATCTGGTTAAACAAAAAGGATCTTATTCTTTGACAAGAATGTCAGTCAATGTGGGGGGTCTTTTCTATATTTTCAGACAATTAAAATAACAATTTGAGCCTGTCAGTGGCAAACACTAACACTTTTCGTGGACATATATCCAAAGTGCATAGTGTCCTGTGTGGATACATTTCAGTCTGTTTCAACACTGGCAGCTGCAGCACTCTTACTCAGTGCTGGACCATCTTTCATAACTTGTCATTTAGTCACAAAAACGTGGGAAAATAGGGCCCATGTTGAAAAATTGAATCAGCTTCTGACTCAAACTTTATTGGAGTGAACTGAATCCTAGAAAAAAGTTCATGCTGCTGAGTTTTTCTCACAGTTGGAGTGGAAAAAGTTGCACCGGGCACAACTCTAGCATTTTCCACAAGTCTTCATTTGACTGTTTATGCAACTGAAAAGGTCATGGCACATGATTTACAGCAATTTCCTGCTCATCAAAATGTTCAGTGGCCATTTATTCCCTGCAGTCACTTTGTAAAAGCCCGTTCCCATCATCAGAGCGGGGCTTCAACATTTGATTAAGGTGACTGAACTTTTCTTGCTCTCCAAGGGGCTGATTGGACCTAACCATGGCAGGAAAATGCAGCACACAGTGAAACACGATCTCTGCTGGAATATAAAGTACTCTTCATTTAGTCAGGTCAATAAGATGCCAAACAGTCACAACCACAGCCCTGCACACACACACACACACACACACACACACACTCACACACTCAGTAGCAGATAATACAAGGAAAAGTCATCCCATTAGTGATTTAAGTTTTTTTATTGTTTGTCCTGAACTAGAATGAGTCGTTCTGACTGATTCTGGTACACACTGTATTGTCGCTAAGCTTCAAATGGAACATCATCTACAAAACAACTAGAAACATCACAGCACACGGGTATGAGACAGACTCATTGACACACACTCATTGATATCAAACACAGTCAGTGCTCAAAGACGACTACAGACACACACACAGTGATGGAGAGAACGTTTACAGTACACACAGGCATTCAGTGAAACAATACGCAGACGTGGGAGACTGATCTACGACTACAGTGGTCTCAGAGGAGGCTAAAAATGCATTAAAGCTTTCATACTGTACTACACTTGAAATAAATAAAACACTGTATCGACACTTACTCAAACGTGTTAGTGGGAATGTTTCTAAATGCTGTGACTGCTCATGTTGCAGATACCAAAAAGCAACCAAGTCAGGATGCACTACAGAGGAAAATCAAGCCATCCCTGCAGTTTAATAACTGCATATACCCGTTTTAAAACAACCCAATCACCAGAATAAATGTTGGCATTGAACGTTTCTGTTGAGTGTAACATTTGTATGTTGCCGTGGTTAACGTTTGGTTATGTTTAGGCACAAAAAACACTTGGTAATGTTTGGGAAGAGGTCATGTCTGGGCTTAAAATACCCAGCTGTGGTGCCACAATGAAAACTGGAAATACCTCAATGTCTCGTTAAAAAAAAATGCCAAGTTTTGGTGGCACAATCACCAGTGGAAAAGCTGCCAATGTGTTGCTAAAAACATCCAGTTTTGGGTGCTCAATTACCACAAGAAATGCCATGTCTTGCTAAAACAAACTGTCCTGATGGCACAATAAAATGCTGGAAATGAGGTTGGTGTCTCCCTAAAAAAACAACCAGTTTTGGGTGCACAATCACCCTTGAAAATGCCACATCTCACTGAAAACACCCAGTTCTGGTAGCAGAATTGCTGCTACAAATGCCATGTTGTTTTGCTGAAACACAATGAGTTCTGATGGCACAATTACCACAGGAAATGCCACGATGTCTCACTAAAAACACCCAGATTGGTGGCAGAATCGCTGCTGAAAATGTTATGATGCCTCACTAAAAGAGGCCTCTCGCCATCCACCATCTCCACCAGCTCCTGATGACACTCAGCTGATATCCATGTAATCAGAAATCACTTTAGAAACGCTGATATGATAGTACGAAATGAAACGTACAATTGTAACACATCTGTGTTTTACAGAAACACATGCCAACATTTTCTTTTTGCGACTGGGCTGTTCGAATCAATTTCTCGTTTTTGAGACATTGAAAGAAAGTCTTTTAAGTTCAAGTAGTCGTTTGAGGCTTAAATAATTAGTTTGGGTTCAATGGCAGAGAGAAGTTCGTATCAAATCTATCCTCCTGCCTCAGTAACAAATCTGAAAGTACTGGCTGGGTGATTTGAGGGGGCTCTTGTAGCTGGCTGTGTCCTGCTGCGTGCTCTGGCTGGTTGTGGTTTTCTGCAGGTTCAAAGTGAAGGACGGGGTCGTCTTCTTCGACTCCGGCTTGCTGCCCCCCTTCGCCTGAGGCTTGTTGGATGTTGCCGCGGGCCTGCTGTTGGCAGGCACAGCGGCCGCGGATTTGGCGGTCTCAGAAGACCCAGTCTTTCTTGCGAGGGGGCTCAGATAGATCTGCATAGTCACTAAGTGAAGTGGTGAAATGAGGTGAGGAGGGTGAGTGAATAGACAAGAGGGGTGGTTGGTCAGCGGGAAGGGTTGGAGGTCAGGTAGTGAGGATATTTTAAAAAATACGGGTGCAAGGGGTGAGGGGAAGGCACACAAGTCATGGTGAGATGTGAGAAAAAATGAAGGATAAAATAACAGCCCAAACACAATGCTCTAAACGTTTCCAGTTATTACAGATAAGTATATTGTTAGGGATGAATCCTACCTTTGCAGTGTGTCACACGCCTCGTCCCTGCATAGAAACAACACACAAACACAGAGCTCACACTCACATGCAGCAAACAACACCGCTGTCATGTCAGTCTTTTGCAAAATCACTTTCTGTTTTTTACAGAGGCTCAGTCAGCAGCTGTTTCACATTCTTGTTACGACGCTGAATGCTGCCAGAAACAAAAAAACAACTGCAGGGAAGCAGGGAGAGTGCTCACTTACCTACATTTACTGCAGCCTCCTTGGGTTTGCTGCTGTTATAATGAGAGAGAGAATGGATTTGAAATGGAGACAGAAGAGGACACGAGGAGGAGATACAGTGACACAGAAACAGAGAGATCAGTTTCAGGTTGACTAAACACTTAAACATCCTTTCAGCTGGCTTTGAGAATGTTCCCTTTGTGGTGTGGTGTGAGGACTTCTCACATGAAACAGGATGTTGGGGTTGGAAATAACCTTGATTTGATTTTAGAGATTTGACTCTGACTTGATCAGCCAGGAATAACTAGGTCACCCCAAAATCAATGGATATCCATACTATGTGGTTTGCAAGCAGTGTGTGTGTTAAAAAACACTGACATAAAGTAACAGGAAGAGAAAAGAAAAAGATATATGACATAAGATTTGGCTTTATAATGATGGACAGCACAGAAGTTGACCTGTGTAAAGAACAGCTTCTTACCCTTCTGAAGGCTTCTTACAGGAGGAGGCTGCAGAGGTGGGTCGTTTAGCATCCTTCACACTACCTGGTGGGCTCCTCACACCACTGGAAGGAAAATAAAAATCTGGAAGGTCATGGCTCTTACGTCTTTAAGCTTTTATTTTTTAAACATGTATTCAGTTTAACAGTGTAAACTTCATCCTCTTTATTACTGTAACTGAAGCTCATAAACCAAATTGTTTACCCAAATGGGAATAAAGTGACTTCAGCCACTGAAATGAAGAAAATGAGATGTGTGGTTTGAGAAAGTGCAATTTACTGATGTCACAGGATGATTGGAATTAAGGTGGTTTAAACTTTTACAGTAAGATTTGTTTTCCACTGTGTCTTGGTGGTTTCTTTGTGTGCAAGTGCCGTTTTTTTTCCAAGAGAAAACAATACTTAAAGGGAAATTTCGGTTTCAACCTGTCTCCTATCGTCCTAAATTTGTTTCAAGTGACTAGTGACATAAAAATATGTCACTAGTGACTATGTCACTAGTCACTTGAAACAAATTTAGGACGATAGGAGACAGGTTGAAATAAACCTAAATTTCCCTTTAATGCTGAAATTTGAATATCAAAGTGATAGCGTCCAAATATTGTACTTTGAAAACCATCTCTCTGAATGTCTGTAGTTTGGATTCCTCTCTTTAAAATTTCCAACAGTTCATGTAAAGTTGTGCAATTAAAAAAACTTGATTTGGGCTGGAGCATTAAAGTGACAGGAACATATAGAGGGAATCGCCTTGTTGTTTACAAATACTTCCAGGTAGAAATCCAGCAGAGTTTAGCTATATATATATATATATATATATATATATCTCACATTTTTTCACGTCACTATATCACCGTTTAGACTAATCTGATGTTTGTAAAGTCTATAAACAATGATTGAACAAACATTACTATTTCTGTGTGCAAGTTTTGTAATTAATAACATGGTTATAGTTGATTAGCTGGGCTAACTGTTAGCTGTTAGCCGTTAGCAGTGTCTGTAAGCCCAGCTAATCTACTATAACCATGTTATTAATTACAATACGTGCACACAAAAATAGTAATGTTTTTCAATAGAGGTGATTCCCTCTATTGCTCTTTTAGAGATTATTACTGTGACAGACTGCTCTATATTGTGTGTCCCTCTTGAGTTGCCGTAGGGCAGAAAAAGTTTTGGGGTGACATTCCGCTGTTTAAAGGGGCTTGTGCATGTGTGAGAGTTTTTTGGGGTGTGAAGAAAATAAATGGGCAGCAGTTGCCGTTCCAACTGTTACACTGTCTTCCGTCCTGTTTATTGTTTTATTAATCATTCAGTTAGGCAATCCCAGGACGCTTGATGACATCACAATCCTGCACAATGCATTTTTGAGAGGCTTAGGATGCTCAAAAACTTGAAAACATTATTCAAGAAACCTGGTACCCACATTCCTCTCATCATTTCAGACATATTTCACATTGGTTTCATTGGATCCGCCCACCTGGAGGTCAGCCATTTTGAATTTTGTGCTTTTATCATGTGTTTTGTACAAACTTTATTGGACTCCTCCCACAGGTTTGTCTTACTTGTTTCAAATTTGGGTGGTATAACCTAAATTGTGAAAGATTAGACAATAGCTCCAACGGTGATGTCATAGGTTATGTGACAACGTCATTTTAGGCACTTTGCAGCTATGGAACTTTATGAAACTCCTCCCAGAGGATTCGGCTGATCCAAGTCAAATTTGGTCACTAGAATCTCAAGACCTTCACCATGCCAAATTGAGGTGCTTGTCTGTTTTCGTGCAGTGGCGTTGCTGTGGCAAGATGGGCAGTTTGCTCTGTGCATATATATATACAGTCCAATCTGCCCCAAATTACACATGCTGGATATCACTCCAGTGCAAATTCAGCATTATATTGATAATGAAATTATCGGTTATCTCATTGCAAAAGGGGATTTCAAACCACAAACGTTCAGAAATAATTCCTGAAAAGCAAAATATTTAACTACTCTAAATTCACAGATATTTTATCAACATTAACATTAAAGTACTTGATAAACCTATTATGTATTACTGATGTGCGTCTCAGCTGATTCTTACTTACATACTTTTTAATTCATATAAATAGTTTTGCATTTTGTTCCACACAGTGCATATTCTGTATTCCACTGTTCTTGATCACAATGAAACGTTGCTGTAAACTCTGAGATAATCTTGTATTTTTACAGGTGTGACGTGTCAGATGGTGAAATGTGAACGTCTCGTGCATTAATTTAAACACATTTCCTTGGACTGACATATTTCTGGAAGCTGTGAGAATATAAAATAAAGTGCTGTCAGTGCTTGGCAGCAGACATGTCCCTGTAATAATGAACCCACTGAGGTGGTCGGTGGGTTGCTGAACATGTTTTACTTTAAATTTATGTGAGAAATACCTGTATAAGACAATGAATGAAAACAGATGTGGCCGCTCACGGCGGGGGGAAGCAGTTGAAGGCAACACGCAGTGAAGAAAAAAGCGATGCGGACGTCAGTGTGAGTGAGAGAGAAAGACGACAGAAGGTGAGATTAATTAGTGGAAATAAAAGGTGAGATGAGAGCGGAGAGAAATTAACCACCGCTGCTAATGATGATGATGATGGTGATGCCTCTCACTTCATCCTAATATTGAACGGACAGCCTTAAGTGAATGGAGATTTACCTCTCTCTGTGCAATTATATCAGCATACTCCAGATATAGCAGCAGCGCATTAAGGCACCACAGAGACAGACTATCATGCTCTCTGACTAATGCTACCTAATGGCAGCATCATTTGAAAGGTAATAGAGAGGAAGAGCGGAGAATGGTTTGCTGCTTTATTGCTCTGAAATAAAGGCGAGTGTTTGGAATAATTATTGTGAATCCATGTGCGGTGTTTCTTGGATAATGGATGGTGTCTGCTGATTACTTTTGCACATTAAATAATGACAACTGAAGCCTGAGATCTGAGACTGACGCTTCATTTTAAGCTGCTTCATTAGAACTGTATTACATTAATACTGTGTGTGTCTGGGTGTGATTCATGACGAGTGGTGTCAGAGATGAGAAGAAGAAGAAGAAGTGTCACTGTGATGTTTTGTTTTTCCCTGTTGAGAAATCAATCAATAATTTTAACCTTTTTGTTTTACTGCACAAATGCTAATAAAGAACTTGACAGCTCTCTCTTCTACTCAAAATCTTAAAAACATATTTTTAAAAAATATATCTTTTAAATGCTTGTAGGTCGGCCGCATGAGATTGTGTCCTGCCTGCACAGTGAGCAGCAGCAGCAGCAGCAGCAGCAGTAGCAGCAGCAGCAGCAGCAGCAGCGTTTACCTGCGAGGTGGTGTTGGGCTGTAGTTCCTGGCTGTGGAGCTGGAGGGCAGTGTGGAGCTCTTCTTTAGGGAGGCAGTACTGGAGGTCACCATGGGCGGTCTGGAGGGCAGAGCCAGAGACACTGGTCGGGCTGCAGACACACACACACACACACACACACATACATACACACAAAGGGTAAAAGGGGGAGTTTATGAGCTTTCTGTTTGTGGTGAAAAGTAAAGAATTATTAGGACATGTTTCCTTATGTTCAGGAATATTTGTCTTTGAATAGATACAGAAACATGATGAACTACTGACACCATATTTTTTATGATTCTTAACTAATGACTGTGGGTACAAAAATCATGTTAACATTATGAGTCGACTCATAAACTACTGTATATACAATATTTATAAAAGTTTTGGTACTGAACTGATTAGTCACTTAGTCAATCAGAGGCTCAATTAGCAACCATTTGATAGCATGATGAGTGATTAATCATTTCAGTCACTTTTCAAGCAAAAAAAGCTAAATATTATTTATGCCTAACATACTTTAGAACAATGGTCCACAACCTTTTTTCTTGAGGGATCCTTTTTCTATCACTGGGTAAATTGACACTCCCTGACTAAGTGACGGATATTTCATTTCATATTCAATCCATAACAATAACAGTACAAAATAACTGATAAGCTGTACAATTAATCTGAAGAGTGATCGCAACAACTCCAGGACATTTGTGTAAAACAAACTATTTTATTATTTCCTGTGAACACTGCATCAGAGATCAGTTTTACTGATATTTTTAGTGACTTTTTATACATTTTTTTAAACAGTTATACATACCTAGTAGATGTTTTTTTTTTTAACAAAGTCAGTGTTTTCTTCTCCCTGACACTTGGCCATTGTTCTGTTAGCTCGTTTGTTATTTTAACTGCACACATTTCTGATGCTGGACAAGGTTGTTAAACAGAGAGTGAAGGTTCTGTGAATATAACTCGTGTTCAGATCTTTACCATGCTTTTACGAGTGAGATAAAATTATATTTTCAGTAACAGTTGAGGCTTTAAATGTAATCATTTCATTTCGTTTTCTTTACAGAAATGAATGAATTGCTGAGATATAGGCCTAGTGTGTACTTTTTAAAAGTTTTCTTACACCGTTTAAAGTCAAGAGGGGCTCGTGACCCCTTGTGAAGCTTTGGTGACCTTTAGTGGGGGTCAGGACCCCCAGCTCGGACTGAGTTTATGACCACCTTACATCAAATGATCAAGATCACAGGAGTGCATCATGACTCAAGATGAACTCTCATGATTTTATTGTGACATTGGAAGTTTGTCTGTGTCAGTGAAATCACTTATAAAATGTTTGGTGTAGATTTGTACATTTGTTTTAGCATCTCACATGTGAGTTTTTGCAACTTTGTCAAACATGACTGTTGAATTAATATCTTTAGGTTTTGGATCACATTGGGCTATTGAGTAAACTGTACTAGGCATTTTTCACTTTTTTTCCTGATGACTTACGGAGCAAACAACAATTGAAAGAATAATTGGTAATGACAATAACTATGGTTTGCAACCCTAAAAAGTCTCATCTTAGCCAACATCTTCAAATTTAAACATGAATGTGTCAGGACAAAGATGTATGCTGAACATACAATAACACCAAAGAGTGTTGGCCAACATACAATGATAATTGTCACTTATGAAAATGAATATTGGCCAATAAAATTGCTCTAAGCAGATTCCTGTGGTTGCACTTGAGCCACAATAATCAAACCCGGTTTAAAGTGGAATAAGACACGTTCTTTTGCTTTAATTTCCCATTATGAAGTAAATGTTGATTGCACAATGAATAATGACATCATCAGCATTTAGATTGGTGTCCTATAAGCTTCACTTTAAATATGTAATTTTGGGGTACAGTTGGTGTGTTCCATTTGCAGTGGGAAGTCAAAATTTCTGAGTCTGCAGTCGGAAATTTCAACTGGAACGCCCCCTGCAGTCAGATTTCCAACTCGCAAACCAATATGGCTGCTCTGCACATCAACATTGGTCACTGACACACACATAGCTTGTCCAACTTATATCTGTGGACATGTAGATTCAGTGTTTGTATGCACATAATACAGTATTATGCGTTGTTATTAATGCTAACATTGCCTAACCTGGCTAGAACTGGTACTGCTAACAACAACTTAGTTTTCCAACCTATAGTACTGCAACTTAATCAACTCAGGTTTGACATCATTCTCAGCTTGAACCTACAACTTTGGCTTCATTTACGGCACAAAGAAAGTGCATCAACCAAAACAAGAAGAGGACAGCACTTTGGTTTTCCCCGACAGCTATCAGTAGCTATCACCAGTTACCAAAGAGTATCAGTGTAAGTTCTTTGCAGTTACCATCCCCAGGAGTGGAAATGGTGGACAGTGGAACAACCAAAGTAACTTTGGAAACGGTGGTAGTGAGGATGCCAGAAAGTGCTCTGGTTGTCTTTGAGAGAGCAGTGCCAAAAGAAAAAAGAAAAAAAAATGCTAACTTTAATTATTTCCTCATGAAAATGTAGCACTGACGATTCCTTAAAGAAATCAACGTCTCCTCCAATAGTCTACATAACAAAAGCTGTACACACTGAGACACCTTAAATCCTCAAACTGACATGTGGATAACTGTAATAATCCACAGGCAGATCTTTGCTCACCTTTTGCACCTGGTGCTCTCCTGCCAGCAGCAGAGGCTGCAGCTGCCTGGTGCTCCTCAGAGATGTTGAGCCTCTTGAGGACATCAGCCAAAGCCATCTTCAACAGCTGGATCTCATCTTCCTGCATCTGCATCCTCTGCTCCAGGTAGGTCAGCCGGTCGGCAACGTCCAGGCCACTGGCTGCCGAACTGCGGTCATCTGGAGGAATAATACAAAATGGGATGAGAACTAGATAGACAGACAGATAGCCAGACAGACAGACAGATAGATAGATAGATAGATAGATAGATAGATAGATAGATAGATAGATAGAGCGACATGTTCATGCCAGAACACAGATTATGTTGTTATGCTTTTCAGCCACATTACATAACTGACGACATGCTTATCCACCTTTAAAATGAACAGTAGAATCCAAAGCATCTATTGAACCAGACCATGTCTAAATATGTTTACATATGCAGCTTTTATAGAACAAAAAGAAGAGTAAACTCACAGAGCAACAGTTAGAGCTTGTTAACCAACAGAGGGTGAGTGACATACAGTACATAACCACACACACACACACACACACACACACACACACAGAGGCAGAGATAGGTGCCAAGAAATGTGCGGTTGACTCATATTGAAACCATGCAACTGTTTGATAAGCGAAAATCTTGAGTATGAGAGAAGATAATTTACCAGTCACAAAGTAAGACAGCGCTAGTCAAGTGTACGCTCACTAAAAAAACTGTGAATTCTCTCTGAATAACAAAATAGTAAATAGTAATTATATTCAGAGAAAGGAATCTCTTTAATGTCAGCTCTTTAACATCCCATGATCATCCCTAGCAGAAATCAAACTAATGAGGTCACAGCACAGCTGGTCACCACACAGCATGTAAACAAAGGTCGCACAACACATATCCCACAACCAACTATTATTTGGCTTTCAATCAAGTTCTACTCAGTATTTTTCTTTTCACTGCTGACAACCATCAGTCCTGCACAGTAATAGTTCAGAGGAGGATACCATGGGAGACACTGGACGCTGATGAGCAGTCTGGGTGCTTCTGCTGGCCGATTGGGCCCTCTTCCACTGCACCAGACGTCTTCCTCCTCTTTCTTTCCTCTCGCGAGCACACTCTCTCGCCCCTCTTTCCTCCTCTGGCTCCAGTGAGATAGGCCGGCTCTCCCTCCATCGGATTCTGATCCACTGGCTGGTGTCCACTAAGATCTCATCTCCTTTACTCCACTTATGTCACACACACACTAACACACACTCAAAGAGCAGCCGTACTGGTGTTTTGCTTCTGTCCGCCTCTGTTTACAGCATCCACGCAGTATTACAGTATCAGCAGTATGTTATGATCCTCTCACAGTCCCTTGGTGGTCGCCTGACTTGCTCTGGGACGCGGTGATGTGTATGACAGCACTTAAAGCCCTTTTGCTCAGGGTGTGTGCTTACATAAAGGTGGGGGTGGGGTTGATAATGCTTAAAAACTCAGTAGTCGTCCAATTCAGCCTAAATTGTCTATGCACGTGTGTGTATGTGTACTTGCATGTGTGTGTGTGGGTGTGCAGACTACAATGATAATCCCTCAGACTGAGCCTCTTTGACCCCGCCCCCACACATAAGCCTCATGTCACTATGAGAGATGGAGACACAGAGAGGAAACAGCAGAAATAAACCTGAAATGTGGCCTGCTCGTGTGCCGTGCCGCAGTAAACATCTTGTTCATCCATAGAGTTACAGAGGTTACAGGTCAGTCTGAGTAATAGGGAGGATGAGGAAGAGGCCAAATAAAACAACAAGAACAACAACAATGCTTTACTGTCGTTGCAGAGGGAACACCACTGTAATGCAGTAATGTAATGAAGCATTATTTCCCAGCAGTTTTCAAATCAAATTGATTGTGAGGAAAAGAGATCACTTACACAACCTTTGAACTTGTGTGAGTATGTGTGTGTGTGTGTGTGTTGTTGATTCCCAACCTAAGATTGTGGAGTAGCTCCACTAATTTGAAAAATTAAATTCTGATTTGATTATATTCCCATATGCAGTCAGATATAATACCTGAACACCATGTGTCGTAATAAAGAGTGTGAAATGTAATATCTTCGTTGAAACAGTTAAAGTACTGGATATATGTTAAAAATAGATGGATAAATGGCAGCGATATTAAAATAGTAAATATAATGGATAAACAGAGATAGTTAACTCAAGAGTAATGGTTAAATGGTTAAAATAGTTCAAAGTAATGGATATACAGTTGAAATAACTAAAATTATGAGACAAATTGCAGAGATAGTTTGTTAAAAAATAGCCTAGTTGCTAAACAGTTGAAATAATTAGGTATAGTAATAGATAAACAGTTTAAATAGTAAGCTAAAAGTAAAAAGTAAATGCTTGGAATAGTTAGCTATAACGTATCAATAAATAGTTGAAATAGTCAATCAAACGCAATATCTAAACAGTTAAAATGGTTAGCTAAAAATAAGAACATGTTCAAAATAGCTAATACATAAATGATTGAAACAGCTACAAGTAAAAGCTAAACGTTTAAACAGTTAGCTATCAGTAATAGCTAAAGGCTTCAAACAGTTAGGTAACAGTAATCAATAAACAGTTGAGATAGTTAGCTAAAGGTAATAGCTAAATGGTTGACATACTTTGCTAAAAGTTATAGCTAAACGGCTGAAACAGTTAGCTAAAAGTGATAGCTATGGGGTTGACAGGGTTAGCTTAAAGTAATAGCTAAACAACTGAAACAGTTAACTTAGCTCAACATAATAGCTAAACGGCTGAAACGGTTAGCTAAAAGTAATAGCTATGGTGTTGACAGGGTTAGCTTAAAGTGATAGCTACATAACTGAAACAGTTAGCTAAAAGTAATAGTGAAACGGTGGAAAGAGTAAGCTAAAAAATAATATCTAAGTGGTTGACAGGGTTAGCTTAAAGTAATTGCTTAACAACTGAAACAGTTAGCTAAGAGTAATAGCTAAACGATTGACACAGTTAGCTAAAAGTAATAGCTAAGCGGTTGACAGGGTTAGCTAAAATAAATAGCTCAGCGGTTGACGCCAGTTAGCTAAAATAAAAGTAATAGCTAAACGGTTGACAGTGTTAGCTTAAAGCAATAGCTAAATGATTAAAACAGTTAGCTAAAAGCAATAGCTGAACGGTTGAAACAGTTAGCTAAATCTAACAGCTAAGCGGTTGACAGGGTTAGCTTAAAGTAATAGCTAAACGGTTGATAGAGTTTGCTAACATAAATAGCTCAGCGGTTGATGCCAGTTAGCTAAAAGCAATAGCTGAATGGTTGAAAAAGTTAGCTAAATCTAACAGCTAAGCGGTTGACCGAGTTAGCTAAAATAAAAGTAATAGCTAAACGGTTGACAGGGTTAGCTTAAAGTAATAGCTCAGTGGTTGACAGAGTTAGCTTAAAGTAATAGCTAAATGTTAGCTAAAAGTAATAGCTGAACGGTTGAAACAGTTAGCTAAATCTAACAGCTAAGCAGTTGACAGAGTTAGCTAAAAGTAATATCTCAGCGGGTGACAGTTAGCTAAAAGTAATAGTAAAACAGTTTAAACAGCTAAAAGTTAGTTAAAATTAAGATAAGGTAAATGGTTAAAATAAATTACATAGTTTAAAGTTATGGTTAAGTGCAGCCCTTACAACTCCATGTTGATGTATTAGTCTTGTGGAAGTTTAATTTAACAGACCTAAACAATGACAATTCAACCTTCAGCCTATCTACATTTATATCATGAATAATATCTGTATAATCTAATCTAATATCTATCTATAATTACTTAATGATCACATTTGGAACATGGTGGGTGATGTTGATGAAGAAGTAGCTGGGATCCAGTAGGTTGTGCCTCTGAACTAACCTGTTGCCTGATGCTGTGATGTCTAGAAAGTTTAGAGTTTAGTGTCTAAGTCTGGAAACCTGCTGTATAGTTTTTCTACGATGCATATTCATGTTAAAATCTCAGTTCTTAGGAAGATGTAACCCTCTGGATATATTTGTGTCCCCTCCTGACAGAGCTGATCTGCTGTGGGCGAAGACTCTCAGTGTAATCACTGGAGCATGCAGCCATCAGTAACAGTAATCTGTCTCTCATGGAGAGTTGTGACTCGGTGTAGGCCAGTGATTTCCTGTTTCCCCTCTTGTCCTGGCCGTGACAACATCCTCGTGCCACCTCCACACACACCCCATATGGGATTGGGATTAGAATAGCACATAATCCCAGTGCTGTAAAAGGGAATTAGCAGCCCAAAGCTCAATCTCTGCACTAACTCAGCTATACAAAGAACAGGCAGGCTCCCTGGATGCCTTTCATGCAAATGTGAACACACAAACAAGCACATGCACCATGTCTATCTCTGTGCCTCTGACTCACACGCACACACACACGCACACACACATCCAGGACACCGCAAACAGTTTCAAAATTCATATGCCTTTTATACATCGTGGCAGAATGAAAATACATGGAGGCATAACTCCTTCATAGAGAAGCAGCGGAGTGTTTTAATCTCTGCTCGCAGATGGTGTTTCTTGAATGAAGGAACAGCATCTGTCTGCTCATATCAGCACCCTGCATGCTGACACATACAAGCCATGTGTGCACAAGCAATCCCTCATATATTAGTCCGCTGATATTAATATCCCCGAGGGAACGGGGTATTTCCCTAAATCTGCTCAGTCGAGGCACATTCCATCACACCCACAGTTTGACTGTGTGGCGTTGGACAGGTGTGCAGGACTAATGTTTAAATTTAACTTGCCAGTTTAAATAAAGCACTGCACAGGTTGAGTGAAAATCAATAGTGCAGAGAAGTCAAAGAATTCACAGTGTTTTCAGGCTGGTTTAGTACAAAGTGTAGTCAATATTTCTTTACTATTGTTGGCCTGTGAGGTCATGAGCAACATTCCCGACCAAAGTGTTTCCTGTCACTTTGTTTTCGAGAGCTTTAATAATCCCAATTTAGACAATATTTTCATTAAAAATAGTTTTTTTCCCCCGTGTGTGAGTAATATGTTAACCCTTCCCAGAGGGCAACATGTTGAAACAACATCGGTTTAGTTTTCATTTGAAACTCAGTCAGATTAACATAATTTAAATTAGATTTCAATCTTTGAGAAATAAATGCAAAACAAATGCATTTATGTATTTATTTTGATATTTTATATTATTTTCTGGTGAAAAATCGGAAGAACAAACCTGAGCAAACTCACACATGTATGCACAACCAGTTCGTGATAAATTGCAGGAAGTGTACATCTTTCACTGATTACAAGTAAAGATGAATTTCCTGCATACAGAACACCATAGGTGTGGATTTCAGGGGGCATGGGGGTCGCATCTCCCTCAATATTTAGAACATGTGCATTTGTCCCCCACTATAAAAACATTAAAGTAGCAGAGGACTTGTACTCTGAAAAAAATGAAAGACATTTACACCATAAAATTTTTGTTTTACACTCTAAATTTTTAGTAGAGGACCCCCAAACGTCCCATTTGATATAACACTTGCAATTTGCACCTAGCAGTTAATTTGCATTTTATTTGCATATGTTTTTAGTTAAACATCTCTGAGAATTCAACTTTTAAAAAATATTTTTCAACACTTTGAGCACCAAAATCCAACCAAATAGCATTTACCTCAGTTGAACGCGGAATATTATTTGTCAGTTGACTGAACTGACCCTTTAGCATCTTAACTGTCTCATCTCTCTACCTGTCATGAAGTCAGTGTCAGGCGCCAGCAGGGAGTCACTGTGGTAGCTCTCCTTCAGCGAGGGCCGCCTCAGCAGGCCGTGGGCCGTCTCCTCCATCCCCAGGCCCTGGTCCACCAGCTCCTCCATGTGTGTGTCCCGCTCCTCTATGCCTGCTGCCATGGCCCTGACAGAGTGTGTCAGAGTGATCCTGTGTGCTCCGACTAAGTCTTCTCCGCTTCACTGCCGGGCTAATTCACCTTCCCTAAACCACCACCACCACCACCACCTCTTGCTTCCCCTCCCTCCCTCTCCCCCGCTGTCCTGTGAGGAGTGTATGGAGGGTGATGTTACTCAGAGGACAGATTAAGGACCTGGTAAGCCATCTGAAGCTCAGGGAAGGACAAGACTATGAGAGAGTAGGAGTCTGTAGTGTGTGTGTGTGTGCATGTGTGAGAGAGTGCTACAGTGTGCAGACAGGGGTCAGGGAGGCTGCAGACTGGGAAAACACCATCATGTCACATTAAAGGAATATTCCCTCAAAATGACCATTTGTCAGCCTATATCAGCTACTCTCTCTGTGTTACTCTACATTTTTGAGGAGTTTTTCTTGCAGGCCTTCAGTGAACGAAGAATCCTAAAACTGAGAATATTCTTGATGAACTGAAGTCACAAAACATGTTTTAACAACAGCAAAACCATATCAAAACATCCATTTACAAGCTGTCTATCTGAAACTGATCTATGCTCTCCTCAAAGCCAGACTCCATTGACAAAAACAGTATGTTGCTGAGCACAGGAGCTGCTGGTCTACTGCTGCCTTGACTGGTTAGTTTATTGGTGTTATTGTGTGACTTTGATGTTTAAAAGGGTTAGTTTGGATTCACTTAAGTCACACAAAAACAAAAACTAGTAACTGGTCGAGGCAGTGATAGACCATCAGAGTCTGGCTTTGACGAGAGCATAGATAAGGGTGTTTTCAGACCTAGAGTTTGTTTGCTTTGGTCTGAATCAGGGAGTAATTTGTTACAAAGTTGTATAATTGCCTAGAGTTGGTTCGTGTTCTTTCGGCAGCATTTACAAGAGGACCAAAAATCCAGGAAGTAAAGCAAACGTTGAAGAAGAGTACACTTGCAAGATAAATGTGACACTTTCTAATGTCACAATGGAGGGACAACTACACAGGTTGAATTTAGCGCTGCTCATCGTGGACTATATTGCTGTCATTGTTCATTTTAGTCAAACCATACAGTTTGAAAACGAGGCGCGGCTCCAACTAGAAAACAATGTTTTGATGCATTGGATGTGCTGAATGTGCATATTAAGGCAGTACAGGAGGAGGTGCACATTAATAATCCTCCAGGACTGTAACATGCTCATGTTTAACCCAAACAATGTGTCATGTGACTGCAGTTGCTTCACATCCAGGTCGGAACACCTTCTCACCACAAACCAACCGCACCAGAGTTCCTTTGGAACCAGACTGAGACCACCTCTTCAAGAAGGTCTGAGTGTGATTGCTGTGCTCACACCTGCCCAAATGTACTTAGGGGGCAAACGAACTTGGGTTTGATTGAACCAAACAGGGCAGGTGTGAAAGCACCATAAGTTTCACTTTTAGGTCAGTTGCTTGTGGGAAAGGGCTGTCTGTTACCGAGCATACAACTGGATAATTGAGACTTGGATTACAGTGCACGAGTTGTGAGAGTGTATAAACGGATGTTTTGATATAGTTTTGCTGTTGTTAAATGCACTCCCCTTTGATGTCAATTCATGAAGAATTTTCTCAGTTTTTAGATTCTTCGTTCACCAAAGGCATGGGAGAAAAACAAAGTTTTCTTAACAAATTCAATGTAACACCGGGTGAGTAACTGAGGGTCCAGTTTGTAGAATTTAGGGATATTGGCAGAAAAGGAATATAATTAAACAAGAATGTCTCGTTGAGTGTATTATTACCCAAGAATCGTTGTGTTTTTGTTATCTTAGAAAAAGCCGTTTATATCTACATCAGAAGCAGGCTTTCATCCACGGAGATGGCTATACCACATCGCAGTTTTGTTCTACAGTAGCCCAGGACAGACAAACCAAACACTGGCTTGAGACAGGACCATTTACGTCCTCCCGTAGGCCACCATAATTAGCAGCGACAAGCCAAATAGTGTTGGAAACACCAATTTTTAACATGAAACTGCTTCATTCAATATTTTAACCGGTTTAAATCACCAGGTCTGTTTGTTTTAAGGATGAAGAGACCTCTGGGGATAATTTGGATCCAGGTAAAAACCTCCTGAACGCCTGAATCTTTAGTTTTTAGAGAAAAAGGTGAGCACACATTAGCAGGTGCTGGGTAACAGCCAACCTCTGACCAGCCAAATAGCTTCGGAGAACCGACTTTTTAAAGTGACACTAATTTATTCAGTGTTTTTACTGTTTTAAATCACCTGGTCTGTTTATTTACAAGAGGAAGAGACCTCTGCGGATAATTTGGCTCCTGGTAAAAATCTCCTGAACAATGAACACCAACGGAATTCAATCGGGAGTTCACACTTGGCACATGGGAGAAGTTTCAGCTGGTTGCAAACTACAATCCTCACCACTAGATGCCACTAAATCCTCCACACTGCTCCTGTACAAATGGTCATTTGAGGGGGTGAATTACTCCTTTAAGGGCCCCAAAATAACTTCCTGAGAGATAAGCTGTATAACTCCTCTCTGGATACATACCGCTATTGCTTCGAGAAGCAAACGATGAGTAACAATTACTGACCTGTGTGCTGAGAAAACACAGAAAAAACACAGCAGGGTGGGACAATGCAATTTGCTGTTGCACGCAAAGTTGCAGACAAGCACACAATTACATTCCCAAAAAGAGCTTACATCAGGCTGCCATCCGGTGTGGCCAGCCCTGGTGCACTGTAAGGATGATGAGATCCTGAGATTAGGGAGCAGAACTTGATTAATTACAGTCATCAAGAGGACAATAAGCCGGACGTGGTAATTAGACCAACAGAGAAAGACAACAGGAGCAGATGAAAAGCCAGTTAGGCGATTGTGTCGAGGACTCCCCCAGTGTAAGCTGCCTTTCTGTCTATTTTGCATTCGCTGGATTGATTCTTTCACCAGCAGATGCTTCTCTTTGCTGATCTGTCAAAGCTTTCTGGCCTCGTAGCGGAAGTCCTCCACCTCCCTCTGAATGTTAAAAAATTGCTTTGCAGTGCATTTCTTCTCCTGATGTTTCACAATATCATACACTCTAATGAGAGATGGTGAAGCACTGGAGACCACAGTGATCAGTGTAAAGTGGGTATGATGCTGTATTAGCTGTAATAAATCACAAGCAGCAGTTTCACCTTTCGCTTCCTCTCATTAATCCTCATATTTTCCTCTTCACATTTATTTCGTCCTCTGGCTCATTCATACTTCCTGTTATGTCTTAGTTGTCGTACAGCTGCAGTACACTAATGGTGTACAATGTTAGCACATTAATTATAATCTTGTTTATTGTTGCTGTTATTATTAATAATGCATTCACAGGACAGAATATGCAGCCCAATTTGGGAGGAAAATAAGACACAATAACAAACATTGGTTATATAAATAACAACAGGAGAGAAATGTTATGGAAATAATAAATTAAGATGTGGCAGAGAAAAGAACACACATTTAATGAGTATAAATAAGACTTAGTTCAGTGTGTCTGACTTTTGCTCATTATTATTCAAGATTAATTAATTATTAATCTCTGCAGTATACATACACGTACAGTACTTACCTGTATATTAGATACCTGCACATACTATGCTAAACCTGCACTAATGAACAGGCATTTTCCCAGGTGCTATCATTTTTTGTATTTAGAGTTCAGGCCCCAGTTCGAGTGACGATTTAGTTCCTTGTCTAATTTTATTTTAGCTTGTCGTATTTGCGCTGTTGGGTGTCCATGTGTTGTTTGTTTTGTGATTCATGTGGGACTTGGCTGCTAAAACACTGTAATTTCCCCTCAGAGTTAAAAAGGTTCTCTCTACATTTCTATCTATCTTTCTCTGTTTCTCTCTGTCTGTCTATTTCCCTGCTCAATCAGACATACAAGGGTGGACAACATATTGGCTGCTGTTACTTGAATTAAATGTGAAAGAAGTTGCAGTAAGAGCACTTGGGGTAACAAAAAAAAGGAAGTAAGGGAGGTATTTAGAAAGGACAGTTTATGTAAAAATATAAATACAGTATTCATAACTATGTTTTTTCTTTAGTTTATAATCACCTGAAAATAAGAATTGTTGTGTTTCCGTTACCTAAGAATGATCCGTTTATAGCTACATACAGGCTGCATTTCAAGGAGACTACATCATTGAATCAAACTGAAGGACTGCTGCAATGTCAACAACATTATTGAAAGTAATAATATTATAGTTATAGTTCTGGCTACTGTGGTACAATATGTTTAAAGTATGTATTAATATCTGGCAGTATACATGTGTGACAATAGTCATATGTGTGTATAATAACAGTAGAAGTATGACTAATGACTAATGATGGCAGCAGCAGCAGGAGGCATCTGGCAGGACCACGGCAGCAGCACAACCACACACGTCACGCTGTCCAGGCACCGCTGTGATATGAGTTATGAGATAATGAAGGGCAGGGGGAGGAAGAGCAGGGACTCTCATAGCAAGAGGTAGAGCGCAGGTAGAAAAAGAAAGCAACATGGCGGAGAAGCGGCCGAGACACAGTTCAGAAGTGGATCCTACCACAAAGAAAAAGCCTGGACGTTCGGCTGAAAGTCTGTTAGCAAAGAAGGAAAGTGACCAATGGAGAAGGCAAACAAGGATTTGTATTGGTGTCGCTTTTCCTCAGTGGAGAGCCCTGAAGGAAGAAATTGGGCTGAGGGCAGACACGGATGTTGCCTTGCTGCTGTTGGATAAGTACGTGACTTGGTTTATAATTTATAATTTATATAGTTTATAATATAATTTCTTGGAAATGGTACTATGAACGTAATGTAATGTTAGCAGCCTGGTGTTCGCCACGTTGTGTAGTGTTGTGTACACGGTGTGAAGCGAGTGTTACTCTGTGTGCATGGAAGTGCCAGCTTATTTGTTGTAATAATGCATTATCTGCTGGGGGGCGACAGAAGTTACGCACTATAGCTTTAACGCTAGGAAGGAGTCTTGTCTAGCCTCTGTACCCGACTTGGAAGGACCCATCTTACCATCCTTTGAGAAGCACCTATTAATTGGGTTCCGCAGAACCTGCCATGTTGTTTCTACAGTAGCCCAGAAGAGACAAATGGAACACTGGCTATAGACAGGGCCATCTGGGTTTTCGCATCGGCTACCGTAGTTCTAAATGCTCAGCACACAGCAGTTTCAGATGGTTGCAATCTGCAACCTTACCACTAGATGCCACTAAATCTTACATACTAGACTTACAGGGCTTTCCTGTTTCTCTCTCACAATCAAAATATAGCAGAAATGCAAATAAATAGATAAAATAAAAAAAAATAAAAAAAAATACAGCTTAAAAACGAGTCTGAATAAGAAAAGAAGAACATGTGGTCTCACTGGACAAAAAGTTGCAACGTATGCAACGTTATGACAAACCGGCCTGTATATAAGTGGAGTAACTTTACAATGTACCCTTTACAAATATTTTTAAAAAGCTAAACAAACTCTCAATTACAGTATTTCTATAAGAGCTCTATGCCAAATTCAGAGCTTATGAGTTGTCTGCACACAGTTCTCAACATGGCAGCTAGCAGCTAACAGTGC